AAGCCACCCGTTCTGCATACAGACTTCCTAATGAGGCTTTTGTTGTTGTTGTTGTTGTTACATCACTACGACAGAGAATAGTGACAGCAGTTAAAGCAGCAAGTGTCTACAGAAAGTTAATACAAGTAGTCCTGGGTCCATTAGCATTCACTCAGCTTTGAAATTATGATGGCACTGAAGAAAAAGGGAGTGGTCTTTGCAATTCACAGTGCTCCTGTGATTAAAATTTGGGTGTTTTTACAACTGCCGCAGCATCCCTTAGGCGCAATCTCCTACCCTGTGCAAAGTGCTTTTGTGGTTTTTCAAATAACCTTCCTTGGTTGTGAGAGGAATTGACTGACCAGCCTGTTGCCTGAGCCTTATGTTATGAGCCATGGGGGGGGGGGGGGGGAATAGAGGTAGTCCTTGATTTACGACCCCAATTGAGCCCTACATTTCCATTGCTAAGCAAGATGGTTGTTAAGTGAGTTTGGTCCCATTTTGTGAGCTTTCCTGCCGCAGTTGTTAAGTGAATCACTGCCGCTGTTAAGTGAATAGCATGATTGTTAAGTAAATTGGCCTTCCCCGTCGACTTGCTTGTTGCAAGGGGGATCACATGAGCTCAGGACGGTGCAACCATCATAAATTTACATGCCAGTTGCCAAGCATCCAAATTTTCATCATGTGACCACGGAGATGTTGCAATGGTAATGTGCATAATGGTCATCAGTCACTTGTTTCTATGCTGCTGTAACTTTGAATGGTCACTAAACAAACAGTTGTAAGCTGAAGACTACCTGTAACTGGCCCAAAGTCACCCAGCCAGCTTTCGTGCTTAAGGCCAGAGTAGAAGTCTAGCCTGGTACCTTAATCACTAGACCTATCTGGCCCTTCCTGATAAATAGAGGAATCATATCTGTAAATAACAAAGTAATTGGCTTTTATGCATATGCGTGCTGATAAAGTTCAGAGCACTAATCACATTTCCACTGGTGAGTAAAGCTGTCAGGCTTAGTTTAGTTCTGCTTTCAATACCATCATACCGCACAGATTAATAGTCAAGCTCAAAGATCTAGATTTTCCAGATTCTATTTGTTTATGGATATTGGATTTTTTAACAAATCGTCCACAAAGAGTTAAACTGAATGATTATATTTCTACTGTCAAGACACTTAGCATTGGCACTCCGCAAGGTTGTGTCCTTAGTCCACTACTGTTCTCCATTTATTCATCTGATTGCACAAATAAACATCCCTACAATAAGATAATAAAATTTGCAGACGATACTACGCTTGTAGGACTTATTTCTGGGGATGATGAGTCTGCATATCGGGATGAGGTATTACAGCTATCCCACTGGTGCAAAAATAATAATCTTCTATTTAACATTAAGAAGACCAAGGAGGTTATAATGGACTATAGGAAAAAAAGAGCAGACATTCAGCCACTGTATATAGAGGGAGTTCGTGTGGAACAGGTGGTTGAATGTAAGTATCTCGGGACCATCATTACAAATGACCTGACCTGGAGTGCAAACACCGCTGCTTTAATTAAGAAGGCACAACAACCGTTGTATTTACTAAGGATTCTTAGGAAACAACAACTGGCTGAGAGTCTACTGACTACCTTCTATCGGAGTTCAATTGAGAGTATATTATCCTACTGTCTCTGTGTATGGTTCTCGAGCTGCACAGTGGCAGAGAAAAAGGCAATTCAGAGGGTGATTAAGATGGCCCAAAACATCATTGGCTGCTCACTCCCCTCTTTGGAAGAACGGTATAGGAATAGATGTAAGAGGAAGATATTTAATATATTGAATGACTCCTCTCATCCGGGACATCAGCTCTTTGAACTATTACCATCGAGAAGGAGATTCAGGGTATTACGAACAAGGACGACTAGATTTAAGAACAGTTTTTATCCAAGTGCAGTTTTGAGTTTGAATGCAGGGTCATAAGATTTTTGTGGAATTTAATGGCTGAGAGTAATGGGGTATTTACATTTTTAAATTGTATAGAGATTATTGTATGGTCTGTTGTGTTTAATTTTATTTTTCTTTCAATGGTGTTGTCCAGTTTTACTTGTGGAAGAGCACCTCATTTCGTTGCACCCGCTTGCGAGTGTAATGACAAATAAATTCTTATTCTTATTCTTATTTATGCCAAATGCTCCTTGTGTTCATTTTTCCAAGAACGGGGAATTGCCATACATTACTATGTATAGTAATGCACTTTATTGGTATGGCTTTTGCATCCAATTCTTACATAAATATGGCTGGATCATCTGATCACCTTTGATTAAAGCTTTGCTGTGGCCTCTGGAAAGGATAAGAAATAATTGTTTTCATGATTGATACCTATTATATTCTACGAATAACGACTGCAAGCAGTTAAATCCTACCATACACTAAGTCACTTGTACCAACTATATAAACTCTAAACAACATGCCAGGGAGTATCTTTCTAAACTCTATTGATGTTCTTTCTGTTTGTTGTTTCTTTTCTACTAACCTACATGCATCATAAATTCTCAGTTTTTTAATGTTTCCTTTTTTCCTCAGTAGTTATTATTTTTCATAACTCCTTGGTTTATTTCCTGCTCTGCTGAGACAGATTTTACTCCTTCGCTTCCTGATTCTGTATCTAGAAATAAAATATTTAGTCTGATTGTTTTTAAGACACTTTCTTTCTTCTCAGCACAGGAAAATTCTACTCTGAAAAAAAAAAGTGACAGTTCATTATGCTGATCCGTGTAGGGGAAGTTGAAATCCAAGATTTTGAGACAGCAGCAATGGGCCTCTTTCATTACAAATCCTCAATTTTGTTGCAATTATATGCCATCCTCACTTTTATTCACTGGGGGAAGAAGAACTTTAGGACATTATATTTTCCTCTCTGCAGTTGCAGTTCTCATATGAATCAGAAAGGCATCAGAAAGAAATCAAAGCACATCTCGTAAGGAGTAGAATGCCACTCATTAAGGAGGTTAAGTGCTGAATCAGTAATTGTCTAATAAAGTATAAAACAGGGCTGATTCTTATTTCATGTCCATAGAGTAAAACAACTTTGAAAGCCAAAGCATGCACAAAAGCACTTCTAAATGGCAATTGGTAGATGTGAGATGTTGTGTCAGTAACCATAATTAAGAGTGATTGAATTGTATTTTAATAAGAATGGGTTAATGGTTATGAGCATTATGAAATTCTTAGACAAAAATTTCACAGCTAGATGGTAATGGTCTTGGAGAGCATCCAGAAGCTGCAGATAGTGATGGGGATGGTTTTGGAGAGCATCCAGAAACTGCAGCACAGGCAGTTAAGTGTACTCCTTGACCAGTGCATATTATACCACTGCTTCCTGGCTACCAGTATGCTTCTGGGTTTAGTTCTAGGTGCTGGTTATGGTGAATAAAGGCCTGTGTGGCATGGAACCAGCAGGCAGCCTCTCCAAGGTTACATCTACTCTTCCCATCAGGAGAGGCATTTTGTAGGTCTTATCTACGTAACCTGTCATCTGGATGTGACCCAGGAAGAAGAGCTTTTCTGTCCAGCACTCACCCTTTGGAACAGAGCTTAAATTAGCTGGAAGGATTTAGTATTGACCCAAAAAAGATATTGAAAACAAGGCTCTGTCATTGTGCTTGGTGGTCAGTGATAGTGGAGAGCTTCTTCAATGGTTGTGCCGAACGTGAAGCACTGACTGGATTCTGCTTCTGATTATGTTTTTTATGTTGTCTGGCATAAGCAACCAGAGCCACTTCTGACTAGCCTTAGTAACTTTATTGTTTATCACCTACATTACAAGACTCTCACCAGATTTTTCCGTTGGGAAAAATCAGACAAAGTCAATGATTCCATGCTAGGCTCTCGCTTGACCTCCTCCCTCCAGCCTAGCTGGCAATTGTCCAATGGATGCCATTTTATATTGATGATTTGCATGTTTGCTTCTATTAAGTTGGGTTTTGCTTGGCATATTGTTTCTTATTGTTATGAGCCACAACATTAAGAAGCTCTATAATTTGAGTAAATAAAAATAAACCAAAAATAAATAGGTTATGAACTTATCTATTTTAAAAATTAGTATAGATTTGCATATTTACTTAAATTCTGCATGTTTAAAGTCGAGATAATTCCAGCCAATGAAATCAATGTGCTTAAGTCAAAGTCATTGCTGTATATAGGGATTTCCCCATTGTGGCTTATCTCCCCATAGGGTTCCCTCAAGAGATGCTCCCAAACCAGGAGGGAGACTTGAGATGATTCAGAAACACACCATCCTGCTCTCTTTTTGTACGTCAATAAAACCCTCTCTTGCATTAGAGATCGACTTTAAGAGATGGATGTAGTGCTTCATGATCAGTTTGGCTTTAATAGCCTGCAGGTATTGATGGTGATGATGTTATGCATTCAGTCATGTCTGACTCTTGGCGATTCTATGGGCCAGGTCTCTCCACACCTTCCAATCTTGCACCATTTTTTTAGTTTTTCTCTGCTCTGGCTACTGTCAGCTTTGACAGGGTCCAGCCAATGTTTCTTTCGCTGTCTCATTTTCCTTTACTGCTAACTCTTTTGAACATAATTGCTTTCTCCACTGAATTCCCCATACAACATAATCAGAATAGGTGAGCTGCCTTGGTGGTGGAGTGGTTAGAGTACAGTACTACAGGCTACTTCTGCTGCCTTCCGGTTGCCTGCAATTTGGCAGTTTAAATCTCACAGGCTCAAGGTTGACTCAGCCTTCCATCCTTACGAGGTGAGTAAAATGAGGACCCAGATTGTTGGGGGCTATATGCTGACTCTATAAAACACTTAGAGAGGGCTGTAAAGCACTGTGAAGCAGTATATGAGTCTAAGTGCTATTGCTATTACTATTTTGATTGCAGTAAAACAGAACTCTTTTTTTAATATCAAAAAGTCTTTGGTACCTTCAATTTAAAAAACTCTGGTTTCAACCTACATTTCTCACCCAACCACAGAATAAAAAGAAACCGTGATACCCTTTCGATGAAGGTTTGTACACTACCTTGTTCACAATGTGTGCCGGTGGTTCCCAAAGCACAGTGGCAGCTGTATCCATCAGGCACAGGGACGCAGGTGGAACCACGCTTGCACCGATGGTGGGGCTTGTGCTCAGGATCACACACTGAAATTTTTTCTGTGCAGAAAGCCCCTGTCCAACCAGAAGAGCAATGACAGCTGGGAGTTGCAAAAGAAGAAACCAGAGGAAATTTCAGCAAACGATTTGGTTACATTCTGTGTCTGCATTTTGGAGTAGAAAAACCAGGAGGTCTCCCTTTGAACATTTTGAGGCAAGATATATAGAACAGTTATATTTTAAAGTTTGATGTTGGCTTAATGCACATTTCTAAATAAATAAAATCATGGCAGCTCCCCAAACCCATCCTTAATCAGCTCATATTTTTGATAGAGCCTTACTCATTCTGAGTTATTGCCAGTGCATTGCAGTCCCGCTGTCCTCAAAACCATTTACCAAAAGAAAGGCTTATGAAGCCTTCAGTCACCAAAATATTGTCCTTTTGTCTTCCATTTCCCCCTAATTTTAGAAATGGCATAATAGGGTATCCCTTAATGTTCATACCTTGCAAGATTGATGTTAGCCTCCCATGTGGCACAAACAGGAAACAGGGCCAGATGAAATAATTCCACTTAAGTGTAAGGCTACATTAATAGAGTCTTGCGTGTCTGAAAGTACAAATCTCCTGCTGTCTCTTTTACAGCTTGAAAAAGAAGTGAAGAAATCCCTTCTAAGCTTCTTTTTCTGCCAATTGTGCAGCTGTGGACTATGCCCACTTTTATCTGACTGTTCCCTAGGGAGCGCTTGTCTTTAGAGATTCTCAGTCATCCAGGTCATGGTTGTCCCAAATGTGCTTTTTCAAGGGGACATTCTGGTTTTTCTTTGAAGACATTTTGCTTCTCATCCAAGAAGCTTCTTCAGCTCTGACTGGATGGTGGAGAATGGAAGGATTTATACTCCTTGCAGAAAGCTGGTCAACTGCATTCTTTCAGAGAGTTGTTGAGGCTACCTGAAGGTTTATCTGCATTGTCAGGGTCGAGAGCAGAGGGAGAGGGATGCAACATCATCTATCTCCAGTCTACAGCACAGTCCTTTTGAAGCAGAATGGAAAGTTACCCGAAGAGTATTCTTATAATTAGCAGAAGTTTCTTAGCTTATTTCGCAAATATTATAGAAGTTGCTTAATATGATATTGTGAAAACCAGAAAATTGCTGAATCTAAATCAAAGAATAATGACCCATGAACTAGATATGTTTCTGTAAACAGCTAAATGGAAGGGTGGCAAGGGTCGGTATGGAAAATAACAGATGGTGTAAGATAAGTATTTATATGCTGAATTGTGCAAAATGGCTAATTAGACTTACTTCCCCCTTTTGTAGTACGCTGAGACTGGGAGCTGTATAAAAGTAACCCCCTCAGGAAGAGCCGGGGGTTCAGAATTTGCCATGCTAATGCTCTGAACCTTTTGTGCAAATAAACCTGTATTCTCCTACCCTTTGTGGTCTTGTGTCCTGACTTGGCAACAGGATCTGCTGCAACACTTTCAACAGTTCCAAGAAGGCTCCACACCCATTTGCACTAGTTAGGTGACCCTGATGACACAGGGAAACCTCCAGGTGGCCTCAACAATGCTCTAAAAGAATACAATTGACCAGATGTCTGCAAGGAGTATAAATCCTTCCATTCCCCCCCTTCGTGTCAGAGCTGAAGAAGTTTCTTGGATGAGAAGTGAAATGTATTCAAAGAAAAACCAGAAAGTCCAGTTGCCTCTTGAAAAAGCACCTTTGGGACTAGGCAGCACTTTTTCTCTTACTTCCCAAAATTATTCTCACATGCCATTACAGATCTTGGATTGTCATTTTTAATCTGATGGAAGAATAAATACATGGGAAATAATTGAACAAAACTCTCAGCATGCCAAAGAAAAATAGCAAAAACAGACATGACCCTCAACCTACAAATAATTTCTAGCCTTGGGTAGATATTACTGAATGAGGCAGACTTCACTGCTCCATTTGCTACCCCAGTATGATGTTCACTTCAGATGGTTCTTGAAATGGACATTTATGCTAATAAAAATAAGGGATAAAGTATGTGTGTAAGAACTATTACATGGAAAAGAGAGAACTGCACGTGCATCTTGCAAGATGATTCTAAAGAAGATTATATACCTGCTTTTAAGCAAATAAATGAGCTCCAACAGAACGGTATGACAATCTGCCTAATCTCAATGCAGATGATTCATTAAAAGCGTCACACTTTACTTACTATAGCGCAGAGCCGCTTTCCATGCATGTCCCCCCATTTCTGCATGTAATCAGTTGGCACGGAGACACTTCACATTGTCCTACATTACGACCAGTGTTAGGATGGCCTTCTGGAATTCCTGGTGCTTTAAACTCCTGATCCTTTCCAGCATGGACTCGGAGGTCAAAAATGCAACCTGAAAGAATGAAAGTTGTTTTTTTTTTGCTTTAAAACAATAAAAAATATTTATGAACATTTACCACTGTGATTAGGTCAAGTTCAACAGTACATTTTTCTCATGATGATCTAGAGTTTACTTCTTTTACAAAAATTTATCTGGTCGCTAGTAGCAGCTTAAAGTTCCTACAACACTAACTTAAAAGTTCACTGCTGCCAAAATGGCAATCTTCACCCTGTCTGCCCTCAGTTTAATCCCTAGGTAATTGTAAGTATGCATTTTAATGGGGGGAAAGTAATGCGATATAAACAAACACATCCTTTAGAATGAAGGCACATAAGGCTTCTATCCTTGAATTCAAGCCATCTTTTATGAAGCTTTATCTTCAATCTGTTATAACTTAGAAAATATATAAAGCCATTTCTTGAGTGCATCACTAAAGTTTTGTTTTCGCTTTTTGTAAAGAAAGCTCAGAGAAAATAGGATACTCAGGGCAAGAAAATAAGCTTTCTGCTAGGTTTCAAACCAGAAATCTTCTGTTATGGGACACTTAAAAGAAAAGCCAAAGCCAAAAAGACAGAATTGCAGTAGGAACATGGAATGTAAAATGAAGAGCAGCAAGATGGATGGATTCAGGTACAGTGGTGATGAATGCAGCATTGGAAGAACATTGAAGGACCAGATTAGGGACAGATCACCATGGGGAAAATCTTATCTATGTGGTTGTCCTTATCCAAAGACATTAGAAAGAAACAGGATAATAAGAAAGGAATTCCATTTTTGAACCTGCTGGCTGTGCTGCATGGTGACATAAACATAAATACAAATGAATTGTGTATGTCTCTGTATCCATATGTGTGCATGAACAAACACAAAGAGAGGGAGATGTTCAATGGGAGAACATGGTCTGGATTGAACATTTTTGCGAGTAGTTGACAAGGTGTCTCAGTCTGGAGACAATTTTCTTAAATCCTAAATGAAGCCTTCCTGAGCATAGGACAAAATCAGCTTAAATGTTAAGCGTGGAAAAGCTTTCTTTTTAAACCGTCAGGGAAGAGGTATTTAGTCACAGTTTTTAATTTCTGAGCAAACTACTTAACAAAAAGAAATACAAGCCCTCAATTCTATATCCTCTTACTTGAGAGGAAAGCTGCTTGAGCTTTAAGGGATTTCAAGCAGCTGGGATTGGGCTGTTGGCCTTGACTATTCTGTACATGTAGAAAACAGGTTTGGGGTGTGTTTTTTGTTTTGTATTTGCGTGCTATATTGTTTATGTTGCTCCTGGGGAGGCCTGTTTTCCCCCCATACAGCAGCTACTGCTAGTGTTGAAGGAGCTAATTCCCCAGAGAGCCTCTAAAGCATGCCCTCTGCAGCTTCTCAAAAATTCTCTCCAATTCACTATAAAGAAGTCTGCCGTCAATCAGCAGGCAGGCTCTCTAAAGGATGGTTTCGCCTTTCCCTGCACAAATCGAATGAGGGAAACAAACCTCTGGCTCTAAAAAGCAGGAACAGATTTACTTTATTTCTTACATTCAGAACCCATAACCCATAGATATTCACATACAGTGCGCAGGCAGCATTGCGCAGGCACAAAGATACAAGAACCACTTGTAATTGAATAAATAAATCCCTCAATCCTAAGAGGCTGGCTCAGAGATCTGAGCAGTCACCCTATCTCCCTCACCCAACAGCCAAGGAGGGGCTGCTCAGTTCAAACTCACAGGACCTCAGCTCTTCTTCATCCCCTTTATATGCTCTTGCTGCCTTGCAAAAGTCTTCCTTTTGGCTTTTCCATCCTTCCTGACCTTCCTCCTGGCTAAGTCAGCCACTATCCCCTCACAGGTAACATACACCCAGTACCTTGCTCTCAGCCTTGCTCTTCTCTTTGTTGACCCATAGTAGACGCTCTTCATCCTTGAGAAGCCCTGCTCCTCATAATCCACGTCAGACTTGTGTCTTCTCTTTTACCCTTTGGCCTCTTTCTTATTGTAAATCTTGCCTTTAGACTCAAGCAATCTGCTTTTCCTACTTGAAATGCCTGACACACTCTCTTTATTTCTTTAGGCTGTCCATTTCTTATTCTTTCTTTTTCTTACCCCTGGCTTCCAGCAGATGTCTGCTTCTCCTCTTCCTTCCCTTCTGTATCTGTCTCCATTAGCCTTTATATCTCTGGAGTCCTGGGTGCTCTCTGAGTTTGGTTGTTTGTTTGCAGATGTTTTATTACCCAGCTAGGCAATATCATCATTGCAAGTGTAATGAAATGTCTGCAAACAAACAACCAAGCTCTGAGAGCACCAAGAACTCCAACCCTGATTCAGGTATCTTTGATTTATATCCTTTCCCAAACTGTAAATTTTGTTCCTCCAAATTCTTTGGGGAATAACTATCTCCACCCTTTCCAGGGGTTCTGATTTCCTTGCAAGCTCACACTGTCTTCTTCTAATGTTATTCTTAATTCGATCTTTGCAACAGTAACCTTATTTTATTTTTATTCCAGAGAGCGTTTATTTGGGTCCCTCAGAGCTGTTTGGAGATTTATGTGTTCTGCTATAGTGCTATTCAGCCATATTTACAAGTCTTTTTATTGTTTCAGACGTCTATGTGATAGTGTTTTTCTTTTTTCACCAATTGACACCTGCGAGAAATTGGTCTGCCTGTTTTACACTTAGCTAATGTTCATATGAAGCTCAGAACTTGAGCCCTCTGTGTTTAGCAGAAAACCAGTTTCTTCCATTAAAACTTATTACTATAAATACAACTTTAAAACTTAAAACTTATTACCGTAAAAACTTATTACTATAAATACAATTAAAACTTATTACTATAAATACAATGACTTGATACACAAAGATAATCATGTTGTTATTTACCTTGAAAGCCATTCTTAAAATTGGATCCTTTGGGTAAGAATTCTGGAATATATTCAATGTAACCTCCTACATAAAACTGACTAAAAACATTGAGTCCCGTCAACTTTCCTGGTGATGTAATAGTTTTGTTTTTTTGACTGTCCACCTTTCAAACAAACAAAAATATGCTATTTATGAGCAACTAAGTATATTATTTCTCATCCTAGTGCTAAAAAATAATAAAAGCATTCATATACATTAACAGAGGAGGAAATTCTTTTTCCTTGCAACTCATTTGAAAATAATTAGAAAATTTTTAATTTCCTGGATTGTGATTAAAAAGGCAGATGGTCAGACTTTTTGCTTGTGTTTCTGTATTTTGCAAAAACTTCTTTATCCATTATTTCTCAGTATTCCCTAAAATTTCAGGAGCAATCTGTAACAGTGGGATGGAAGTTGTGATGGTAGGCAGGTAGGAAGTGAAAAATGAAACACAGTTTTGGAAAGGGAAACTTTTGTACATTATAAGTGCAAATCTTTGCACAAAAGGTTTTATAGAATCTCATTACTGGTTTCATGCAACACGCTAAGTCATGATTCAGCTTAACCATAATTTATTGAAAATACAATGCAATATATAAGGTACTATATCATAACTAAGCAAACCTCACTATGATTGATTTAGCTCTTCAAATTGGGCACCTGCTATGCATTTCTGTATGAATCTAAGTGAAGCTCATTGTTTTTATTTTTCATATTCTCCAAAGGAATTCAGGATGGAATGTATAGTTATTAATTAATTAATTAATTAATTATATTTATACTCCATGTTTCATACAGAAACTCAAGCTGATATCTATAAAACTCTCTCCTCTGATATGTGAAATATATTAGGCTACAAGAGATCTGAAGATGCTTGCAGATAAGAATCTGGGTCTTCCTGGTGCAAATCTAACCCTTAATTACTACATATTGAGGTATTCCCCATTAGGAGAATGAGTGAACTCAGGGAAACGTAGTGAGAGTGGTGAGGAATAACACACAACCAGCATACAGATACACTGAATAATAAATGAAGGTTTTACTTCCTGTAAACGGGTAAACAAAGTCCAACAAACAGTCCAAATCATACATGGTTAAAGCAGGTAGTATTCAATACAATCAGTCCAGGGATAATCCAAAAACAAAGTCCAGTTATCATAAACAAAGTTCAGTAAATGGAGTTTGCTAACAGTTTGCAAGACTCACAGCAATCCAAGCAGAACGACGATCAGGCAAAAGGCAATAAGGAAATGCAAGAAGAGTTTTGTATCAGGTTTCTGGCTCCATCTTATGGCCATCGGAGGAACCTCAGCCAATCACAATTACAGCACTCTCTTAAAGATACAACAGTATTAAATAACTATCCTGGTTTATATATTGCCAACCCAACTGTTAGGTGACTATCATTCTGAACACTACACTATATTGCCTCTCAGATAGATTAAAAACACGTCAATATCAGATTAAAGTTATATTTTTTCCTTCCCATTTTACCCTGATAGCAGCATTGTGGGATAGCCCAAAAACATGATAGTGTCATGACCAAGATCACAATTGTAATCCTTGCTACAATAGGATCTACTAACTGTTAGTAGTGAGATGAAGCTTTTCTAAGGCAAGGCTTACCTTTATCCAGCCGCTTCTAAGAAATCTGCCAAGCCTGACTGTATGAATGCGACGTGTCAGATCAAGTGGCTCGCTAGTAATAGTTGCGATTCCAGATCCCAGGTTGTAACTGTATACCAAGCTACCGTTTCGCAGACCCAGCACTAGGAAATCATCCCCAGTAAGACCTGGAATGAGAATAATCACATCACTGCCAAAGAACCTGCTACAGAGACTTCACTTTAGGTAATTGTGATAAAGTTAGCTTGACAGAATTACCTCATTTCAGGTAATTTGTTTGCATGGCATGAGAGTGAATCTTTCTGTTGCAAGTCCTGTCCATCAGACAAATCAAATATCTCCTGCTAGCTTTTCCAAAAGCCTCAAAGACATGGATGTGCTCCTAGGCATATGGGTCAGGAAGTCAGTTAGAACCCATTGGATGTTGTTTAGTTTATTACAGAATGTAAAATAAGAGGGTTGAAGGGGACCTTGGGGGTCTTACAGTCCATTCCCTTGCTTGAGTAGGAGCTCTTACACCATTTCCAACAAATGGTTGTCCAGTCTCTTTTTGAAAGCTTCCAGTGATGGAGCACCCACAACTTCTGAAGGCAAGCCATTCCACTGATTAATTATTTTCACTGACAGAAAATTTCTCCTCAGTTATAGATTGAACTGGATTCTAGTAAATTTGTTGTTTTACCTCAGTGGCCATTATCGGTTTTATATTTTGGTTGTAATTTTGTATGGTGTTTTTATTTGTTGTAAGCTGCCCAGAGGCACTGTAGCAAAATGTGCGGCCATTAAAATCCAATTAAATACATTAAAAAAAAACAGGTATTTCTTTTTGGCTTTCCCATTTCCCTCACTATACCATAATGAAGACTGTCTTACCATATCAGAAAACAGCCTTCCAAATGACAACTTACCAATAATTGGCAAAGCTAAATTGGAGAAGGAGAACTCATTTACATTATAAACATGAGGAGGAAATGATTTCTGACAACTTCATGGATAGATACCATCATGTAGTTTTGTGGCCAGCAGAATTAAAGTGGGTTTCTACTGTCTTTTTTCTAGATTTTTAAAAATGTCCTAGTTTAGTCTATAGCCTTGGTTGACTGCTATCAAAGTACTAAACAGGTCAAACTAGGAGCCTCCAAACTTGGCAACTTTAAGACTTGTGGACTTCAACTCCCAGAATTCTTCAGTTAGCCATGCTGGCTGGGGAAATCTGGGAGTTGAAGTCCACAAGTCTTAAAGATGCCAAGTTTGGAGACCCCTGGGTCAAACCTTCCTTAGTGTTTGAAGATCATCAAAGCTCAGCTTAATACTGCCACTTAACTTAACTTAACATAAGCAAAAGAGAATGCATTAGAAAGTAAATGGTGGAATAAATCTGAGATCTACATTTGCTCAGTGGCATGGCAAGATGGTTGGATGGTTCTAATCAGTAGTGGGATTCAAAAAATTTTACGACCGGTTCTGTGGGCATAGCTTAGTGGGCATAGCATGGCTCGATGGGCATGGCTTGGTGGGTGTGGCAGGGGGAGGTTACTGTAAAATCTACATTCCCTCCCCACTCCACTAACCTGCTTTCCAGTTCTGTTCTCCTGCGCAGGGAAAAAGAAGAAGACCCAGCCGATCAGCTGGGACTTGGGAGGCAGAGAATAGATGGGAGCATGGCCACTCAGAGGTGGTATTTGCTGGTTCTCTGAACTTCTCAAAATTTCTGCTACTGGTTCTCCAGATCTGGTCAGAACCTGCTGAATACCACCTCTGGTTTAATAATATTGAATCTCAGCTGACCAGCTGGTTGCCTGCTAAATCCTTTTAATAATTCAGATGAAAGCTGGTGGGTGTTGATTAGGAGGCAAAAAAGAGTTGATGAGAATCTTCCTTCTGTGGGAGCCTTTGGATTTTGGCAGAGGGATTGTGATGCATTCTATATTCTGAGATGTTCTATAGCCCCAGATAAGTCAAGGTTTCACATAATTGTGTTTTAGAAAAGACCCAGATAGACAGATGGTTTATCGTTGTTCAGGATTTCAATGGAAATATTATTTTTTTATGCAAAAATAATATAACAAATTTGGAAAACCAGAAAAGATGAATGCATATTTATTTCTGTCAACTGTTCTTATGATAATATTCATTCCATTCATTCTCAAATAAGAGTGAGAATATAAATATTACAGGGAGGAGCCAAGACAGGGGTGAAGCAGCAGCATTTACCCAGAGCTCTTCTATGTTTTTTATTTACACTTATTTTTATTACCTTTTTTTAATTTTTGGCCATTCACAACTATTTCCTCCTTCTGGAAATAATAACTGGCCAGAGAGACTAACTGACTGGGAGAGATAAGGTAGGGAATGCTAACAAAAACAGCCTGGAAAAGGATAAGACCATGAAATGCAAAGGTGAACACAAGAACCAACCCAAGAACAGCTGAAGGAAGAGCTCTGAGACATGCAAGGACATCCAAGATCCTAAACAACCTACAGAGGAAGATCTGCTGCAACACTATAATATTGGGTTGATCATATTTTCATAGCAAAAACAAGTAGGTGATACTTGACAGGAAGAGTGAGGAACTGACCATTCTCAAAGAGAAAGAGCAGTAAGGAACTGAGGAAGCCAGGTGTTCGATTTTCGAGGTAGTCCAGACAAGAAGCACAGCCAGGAATAGTATCTCTATGTTAATTGTAAAGTTACTATAATAGAATTTTGCAAGGCTGGAAATATTTCCCTTCTCCATTCATTTTTACTCTTGGGAAAATTAGGGAGGAACCCTTCTGAAATGTTTCCCACAGGCCTTCTTCCTTCTGTAAACTATCTTTTATATACTGGATGTCAAGTCTGACATTCTCCTTCCCATCTCCCAAGGTCATTCTCACGTACCACTACATAGGGAAACTTGAACATCCTCACTTTGAGTTTGAATGCATATGCTGATATAGTCATCTAACATCAGCTACTGGCAGATAATTGATAACCTTCCATAATAATTTCCTAGGTTCTATACGGAAATTCTTTCCAAATGCTTACCTTGGCCTTTCTGACCAGTGAAAAAGAGGAGATTGTCTTGTAGTGATGAGTTGTGATTTGCCAGCTGAAATTTCAGATGGAATTCATAGCACAGGCTGATGTTTGGAATTGCTGAATATGCTAGGAATGAGGTATAGCCAAAAGCATCTGTCCCACTGAAGCTAGGATAGGTTATATTCATGACTGTTAAAAAAATAATAAAAAAATGTTTGCAAAAAAATAACATTAAAAAAATAAAGCACGGAGAACCAGTAGCATGCAATTTGGAATCCCACCACTATATCTATCTATCCATTGTTTGCAGGACATAAATGGCTACTGATGTAATGACTCTAGGTAGCTCACAACAATCCCTAAAAACATCCCCACCCTAGCCCAATGCTTGGGGGAAGAGTCAGGTCTTCACAGCCTTCTGGAAGCCTGAAAGGATAGAGAGATCCCTCAAATTTCAGTTAGAAAGTGTTCCAAATGGCTGGGGAAGTCATTGAGAAGGTATGTCTCCAAAGTCCTATCAGATGGCAACTTTTAAGAGAGGGGATCTGGAGTGTGCCCAGCCTATCTAATCTAGTAGGAGGGATTGAAACGGCATCTGAAAACATCTAGGATCAAGCAGTCTGATATTTCTCAATCTGTTGTCAATGTGTGGGAACAAGAACAAAGTTTCTCTTCAAATTTAAAAAAAAATATTTTGCAAAGTTGGTAGCTTTGAAAGCTGTTCCCAACAGCCACCACTTCTATGTGCACGCATGGTCGCTTTGCTTCTTCTTCTTCTTTCCAGAGAAACAATCTGGCTCTGCATACACATCGTATAAGGGCAATCAGGAGCAGCTTCCCAAGTAGCTGCAAGAAACTTGTAAAATATATAGCTGCTTTATTAAGTTGAAGAGATACTTTGTATTCCCATAAACAATAAAATGCCTACAGGTAATTCTCAATTTATGACCAGGATTAGGACCAGAATTTTCATAGCCAAGCAAGTTGAGTCATGTTCAATTTTATGATGCTGTAGTTGTTAAGCGGATCTCTGCAGTACTTACATGAAACATTCCATTATTAAGCAAATCTGTCTTCCCTCACTGACTTTGCTTGTCAGAAGCTGGCTTGCAAATGATGATCACATGACCCTGGGGCATTGCAACCAGCATAAATACATGCTCGTTGCCAAGTGCCTGAAATTTGATCATGTGACCATGCAGATTCTGTGACAATCATAATCTGAGGACTGGTTTTAAGTCATTTTTTTCAGTGCCATTATATCTTCGAACAGTTGGTAAACAAATGAGGACACTTGAGAACTATCTGTATTTCAAGATTTACACAGCCTAATGTTTGTTTGTGTGTAATACTAAACTAATTAACAGAAAACATGTACACAAGCACTCATATATGAAAATGAAATATTCCAGTGAACTTCAGAATGTTTTATTTCTCTGCTTGACCATGTGCAAACTCCTATGGACCATGCCATTCCAGCGGCCGTTTGGTTGTTTCCCAAAGTAAATATTGCAAACTGGAAAGAAATTGAAGTGTCTCAGACACGTTGTTTGAGAGGAAAGATTTAGATTACATCCAGTTCAGAGCAGGGTGAAATTCAACCAACTCGGCCCACCTCGGGAGCGGTGGTAGGGACGATTTGAATCAGTAAAAAAATCACCCCGTTTGCTATTACTGTTATACCAAGTATAACAAGCTATGCCCGCAGCCATGCCCACAGAGCCGGTAGGGAAAAATTTTGAGTTTTACCCCCGGTTCAGAGGCTTTACTTCGGAAATGGCCTACTGCCACCAGAATGGCATGATGCAGTGCAGAGGTATTGGCACAATGTGGGGAGGGAATAAAACATTTTGGAGCTTTGTACATCCCGTTATTAACAATATGGATGACTTTAATCTCAAATAGGGATACAATAAGGTACATCCAGATCATACGGGTTAATGTTCTAACATTGAAATTGGCTTTCGAATGACAATTTCATTCTTTTCAGTTTCCTTTAAAAAAAAGGGAAGGGGGCTCTGGCTTAGAACTCATAATTGTTCTTACCATCATTACAAAGAATTCCAGTTCTTCCATATGGACAGAGGCACACAACATCCTGGTTAGATTTAGGAAAACAAGTTGCTCCATTCCCACATGGATTTTGCTCACAGTTTGAAAGCTGACATAATTTTCCAGAATAGCGAGGAGGACATTCACAGAACCAGTTCTCTGTGTCACTGTAGAAAGGAGAGAGAGAGAGAGTATAAACACACATATACTGTACAGTATATACATATGCACGCATAGAAAGGAACAGCAATTACCCTTTTCTCTCAAATCCACTAAATCACGAAGCAATATTCAATCAGGCAAGTTCTTTGAATATGATGTAGAAGTCTTTTAACGTTTGGGGTGCTTTGTTCTAAGAATGTTGCTCCTTTATATTTTACGGCTATCATTTCAAAGCTGATTTTAAACATTTGCCAGCTCCTCTTGCCGTTTACTACCTTGTGTACAGAATGTTCAGAACAATATTTAGTGCAAGGCCAAGCATTACTATTTGCTTTCAAGTTTTCAAAAGCACAAACAAGGCCAAAGGGATTTTTCTACCTTAAAATAAAAAAGTTATTTGTGATTGTAAAATTTTTTTGATAACTGGATTATTTCTTATCCATCCCCTGCTTTTAGCAGTAACTTGTGAATGAAGAGTTTAGGAGAAACAGTTTGTATGATTTTCTGTGCCATTTTGGCTGAAGGTAAGAAAAACATGGCCTTACTATGAATGTTGGCTTATGCACAGTTTTCACATACTAAGTGGAATATTGGAAATGACATTATTATTGTTGTTAATATGAATAACAATCTGTCTTCCAAGCAAGAGATTCCATAGATACTGAGTAGACAGAAATTGCAAATCATATCTGAGCTTGCTTTATGTGAACAATGCACACATATTTAATGGTGCAACCTCCTTTAATTTTTGTTTTGGAAAAAGGAAGTTTATAGTGAATTCTTAGCTTCAAGCATCCATATACTTAACTCAATTTCTAAACAATCAATTCCCATCAATTGTTCACTATAACAATAGTGATAGTGAGCATAAGAAATAGAAAGTGACAAATTAGCCATGTGTCCTTCCTTCATTCTTCTTTAAATTTGTTCTCTTATTTTCTTCTTCTGACCATTTCTTTTCCCAGAAAGGAATGTCCATGCATTTCCTTTCCCCAGAAGAAAAAAAAACACGATTTATTCATTTATTTAATACTAAAATACTGGGGAAACACAAGAAGATATTGAGCTCCAATTTATGCCAATGACACCATCTAAATTCTAAAGATGTTTTCAAGTGAGGCATTTACTGTACTGGTTTCCTTTTTCCTCAGAATTTTGCCAAAGAAGGAAAGAGGAGGGCAGAGGGACTCAAACAATATTGTCTTCAATTTCTGAGTTTTCTTCCTGCTCATCTCTTCCATTAAAAACAAAAAAGAGGCCAATTGGCACAATGACCTTTTCTTGATACCTCTGGGACCAGAAGCCTCTGAACTGAACAAAAAGATGGCAGCTTCAGAGAAAAGAACAAGGATGAAAGCAACCATTACCTTTTGGAAAGATTAAAAGTTAATAACCTTTTCAACAACTCTGAGAAACAGACTAATATTTTTGACAAAAAGGACAGAAGACTGAATGGCTGGGATGGTACCTCCCTCTGATGGCAGTATGGTAGATGAGGTGGCTACACCACAAAGCTCTCCTTATTAATCAATTAAATAATCTTTGTAGCTGACTCTAATTTTATGGTACAACACAAAAAAAAAAACATGTAAATAATAGAAATCAACTAATCAATGGAAAAGCTTGCCTCCTGGAGTTGTTGTATGCTCTATCCCTGGAAGTTTTGAAGAAAAGATTGGACAACTATTTGTCAGGAGTGGTATAAAGTCTCTTACCTTTGATAGAGGGTTGGATAGAAGACCTCCAAGGTTCCTTCCAGCGCCATGATTCTATGATACCAGTATTTATACTAACACTGTAATATTACTCATCTAAATTATTTCCTCAAAAATATAAAAAGAAAAAGGGATTTTCAAAAAAAAAAGGTCTCTCCATTATGGGAAAGTGAGGAGGAAAAAACAAAGCAGGAGTCCGCTATGACCAGAGAGAATACGCAATCTTGCTAACCATGAGGGTTATAAAGTGACTGAATGCCAAACTTTACTATTCGGTGTAAACCATTACAGGTTATTGTTAAGTACAGAATAAGATAAATGGGATGTAGGCCACCTCTATAGAGAAAGAAGGAAAAATTAAAGACCCCCCCTTCCAAAAAACCCCTCCAACCATGTTAGGGAACATGGTTGGTTTAATGGTTGAAACACGGGTGCATATGCTAATGTGGTTAGTGAAACACTAAGTTTGGAATTCTTTGTATGGAATGCTAAGGAATGCTTTGTCCTGAAGTTCTAAAAATATTTACATTTGCTCTTATCCTAAATTAACTGATTGAGTATAAGGAAAAAAACATCACATTGTCCTTGTATAAGCTGGTAAGGCTACTGAACAGTATATACAGTATTTGGGCTGGTAGATATTTCTACATTGTTTATAAATGCCTTAATGAGCTTTCTAGGGAAGGAGCTGTATTTGGTTGCTAAATGTTTAAGGATATATATGATGGGGAAAACTGTTTATCAGATTTTATTAATTTGATTGCCTTCCTAGCCACTGGCAATGTGCTCCGATAGCTTTTTGTAAGCAAAAACAATTAATATCCTGCACTGCATTCTGAACAGATGCTTGCAGCTTTATCATTGCAGATGCTAAGTGGTTTTTTTAGTTCCACAATTTATCCCTTTAGCTTTTATTGGCAATTCTTCAAAGAAGCTGCTGTTGCCATAAAAACAAACCTACATATGTGGAGAGGGGTAAGAACATTGTATTAAAGTGCCTACAATACAGGGAGCCGTTAAACCTCACTGAGTAATACAGTTGGTTTTAGCTTTGTACAAGTAATAGACACCATTTACAGTTATGACAATGATGAAAAAGTAACTTTGGCCCTCGGCCTTACATTTACAAATTTCACATGTCTGTACAACAAAGCAAAGCTGAAGTAAGTACATAAGCAGAGTTGTGGTTTCACTTTGTTTAATGACTGATCTCAATTATAGTTGCTAAATGAGGACTACCAAGACCCCTATGTAATTTAAATTAGACAATAACCATTTCTGGAGTAGATAAAGAACAGGGCAGCGGTGGGCTGCTGGGGGTTCGCAGGGGTTCGGGAGATCCTCTAGCTAAGATTCTGTGCAGTTTGGAGACCCCCCCAAATCCCACCCCTTGCTGACCATCCCACTCCACCCCAACCTACCCAGGAGTCCCCCACATGGCCCATTTTGGCTGCAGGTAAATGCAGGGCACTCATGGAGGCTTGGGAAGGATAAAAAACAGGCCCCCTGGAAGTTTGGGAAGGCCAGAAATGGGCCCGTTTCTGGCTTCCAGAGAGCCTTCGGAGCCCAGGGAGGCCATTTTTGCCCTCCCAGAGGCTTGAGGAAAGCCTCTGGAGCCCGGGGAGGGCAAAACCGCCCCCCTGGCCATGGTGCAGGAGACTGACTAGGCCACACCCACCATGGCCACCCCCACCCAGCAACTGGGCAAATAACCCTTTTCTAAAAATTTTGAAGCCCACCTGTGGAACAGGGCAAGTTGAGTAATGGTAGGACAACATGCTTAGAGATGTTTTCCTGAAATGGAGAGGTTTGTGTTTGGTCAGTGGTCAATCTCACAGTTCCTGGGTAGATTTTACCAGGTACCTTTGGAGGGTTTGTACTACTGCCTCTTGTTCTGTGGTGGCACAGTGGTTAGAATGAAATATTGCAGGCTGACTCTGCCGACTGCCAGCAGTTCAATATTGACTGGGTCAAAGTTGACTCAGGCTTCTATCCTTCTAAGGTCAGTAAAAGGAGGACCCAGATTGTTAGGGGCAATATGCTGACTCTGTAAACCACTTAGAGAGGGCTGTAAAGCACTATAAAGCGGTATATAAATCAGTGCTATTGCTATTGCTTCTGAACATGGCATCTGAAGGCAGAATGGGGAGGCAGCCTGTCTTTCGCAGGGACTCTCTCCCTGTTTCTGCCTGCAGATAGTGAATGACATTAGAGTGTTCCACATAGCATTTTAAAAAAAAGTTAGTTTGCAAGAGTCAGATTGGGTAGGTAAAACTCTCACCTTGGTTGAAATTGATTCCAAATCAATTTAAACTGAAACAAATTATATTACTGTAGGAGCTAAATGTTAATGTTTCCCTTACTGTATTCTACACTGTATACTTTCCTTGTGTACTTTAAAAAAATCATCCTATTGTTTTCCCTACCTACATTGTTCTGGTATATTGAAACAATACCCAAGGTCCACACATTATGTACCAGAAAAATCTCTTGAGTATAGAAACATCCTGTGTGGTACAATAGCTAGCTGAGGGGTCTTTGGTGTTCTCTGAGCTTGGTTGTTTTGTTGCAGACATTTGATTATCCAAACTGTGTGCTGATGATGTTAATTAGTTTGGTTAATGAAATGTCTACAGAAAACAACCAAGTTCAGAGAGCACAAAGGAGGAATGGAATGGAATGGAATAACAGAGTTGGAAGGGACCTTGGAGGTTTTCTAGTCCCCCCCCCCCCCCCACCCCTTAGGCAGGAAACCCTATAGCATATCAGACAAATGATTATCCAATCTCTTCCTAAAATCTTGCAGTGTTGGAGCATTTACAACTTCTGGAGGCCCTGAACTCAATTTCAACCTTGAGCCACAGCTATTAGCTTGAAGACTAAGATTGATGAAATACCCAGATGCTAATCTTTAATCAACTTTGAAGCACCTTTGAAGCACCTAAGTTTTGTCCAGCCCTGTTCTCTTGGTCAGATTTACTACATAGCATTGTTATTGTAAGGATAAAGTGGGGAAGACCTATGTAAGATGATGTGACCTTTTCAAATAGAACTGGGATATAAATCTAACAAAAGTAATAGAATATCAAATGCTTGCTGTTGGGTGACAGTAGATGGAAATTGTATGGCCTTCATTTACCACTTGTGGACCTAAGGGATATTAAGTCATGCAACTTCTAGACAAAGGTCAACAACATTTGAAATGACACCTGTTAGGAATCAGACATTCTCTATCTTTTCCGCTTAACATATTTTCATCTTTTGTGCTAGCTGCTTGTGTTTATCAGATA